TTCATCTGGGACCCCCCAGATCCCTTTATGACCCCCCAAGACCCCTCTGGGACTCCCCAGATCCCTTTGGGACCCCTCTGGGACCCCCCAAACCCCTCCAGGACCCCCCAGACCCCTTTGGGACCCCTCTGGGACCCCCCGGGATGACCTGGAAGAAGCTGCAGCCGGGCCGGGCCGTCCCGGGGGGGTCCCGCAGGTACGAGGCCGTCAGGGCCAGACAGCGGCTGTCCACCTCCTTCCCGAAACGGAGCGCTGAGACCTGCGGGATCCACCGGGATCCACCGGGATCTGATGGGATCCACTGGGATCTACCCACAGCAATGGGGTCCCCAAATTCCCCTGTGATTCCCCCTGGGATCCCCAAATCCCCCCGGGATCCCCCCTCCTTCCCAAAACGGAGCGCTGACACCTGCAGGATCCACCTGGATCTGATGGGATCTGATGGGATCCACCCACAGCCCTGGGATCCCAAATACCCCCTGAGATCCCCAAATCCCCCCTGTGATCCCCCCCGTGATCCCCCTCCTTCCCGAAACGCAGCGCTGACACCTGTGGGGATCCGATGGGATCCACCGGGATCTGATGGGATCCACTCACAGCCCTGGGGTCCCAAATACCCCCTGAGATCCCCCCAATGATCCCCCCCGGGATCCCCCCTCCTTCCCGAAACGCAGCGCTGAGACCTGCCGGATCCACTGGGATCTGATGGGATCTACTCACAGCCCTGGGATCCCCAAATCCCCCTGGATCCCTTTGGATCCCCCCAGATCCCACCTCGGGGTGCACGGAGCCCCAGATCCCCCCAGATCCCTTTAGACCCCCCCCCCGGATCCCTTTTGGATCCCTTTGGATCCCCTCAGATCCCTTTGGATCCCCACCAGATCCCACCTCGGGGTGCAGGCAGAGCCCCAGATCCCCTCCGGATCCCTTTGGATCCCCTCAGATCCCCCCAGATCCCTGTGGATCCCACCTCGGGGTGCAGGCAGAGCCCCAGATCCCTTTAGATCCCCCCAGATCCCCTCAGATCCCCCCAGATCCCCTGGGATCCCACCTCGGGGTGCAGGCAGAGGTTCTTGCGGGAGCTGAGCGCCAGCGCCAGGAGGGGGAGGGGCTCCCCCAGCTCCCGCTCGTAGTGTTCCAGAAGCTTCCGCAGCTCCTCCACCACCTGCCGGATCCCGGGGACCCTCAGGGATCTGCTGGGATCTGCTGGGATCCCCGGGGACCCCCCAGCCCCCCCCGGATCCCCCCAGACCTTCTGGATCTCGGGCACGGTGCGGGAGCAGTAGATCAGCTTGGAGACCTCCAGCGGGTGGGCCTGGGGGGGGGTGGGGATCTGATGGGATCCACTGGGATCCACCCGGGGCTTGGGGACCCGCCAGAGACTGGCAGGAGACTCTGGGATCCACCAGGAGCCCCCAGATCACCCCAGATCCCGCCCAAGACCCCCCAGATCATCCCAAACCCCTCCAGATCCCCCAGGATCCCTCTGACCCCCAAAATCCCTCCAGATCCCCCCAAACCCTCCCCAGATCCCCCCAGATCCCCTCAAAACCTCCCTGAGATCCCCCCAGATCCCTCAGACACCCCAAAACCCCTCCAAATCCCCCCAAAATCCCCCCAGATCCCTCAGACACCCCAAATCCCCCCCAACCCCCCCCCGATCCCGTGGGATCCCGTGGCTCCCGACCCGCTGGTAGGCGATGATCAGGGCGAGCAGCGCGATGGTTTTGCCGGTGCCCGACGGCATCTCCAGCACCCCGTGGCCCTGGGGGAGGGGAGGAGGGGCTGGGATCCCAACAGATCCCCCGGGTGGATCCCCCGGGAGTGGATCCCAGGGTGGATCCCACCTTGGCGTCCAGCGTGCGCTTCAGCTCCAGCATGTAGGAGAACTGCTCGGGGTAGATGAACTCGTAGGGGAACAGCACCAGGAGCCCGTCCACGTTCAGCCTGGGGGATCCCCGGGGATCCGGTGGGTCCCAGGAGCGGATCCCGAGAGATTTAGGGGGATTTGAGGGGATTTGGGGGGATTTGGGGTGTTTTGAGAGGAGATTTGGGGAGAAATTTGGGGAATTTGGGGGTTTGGGAGAGCACCAGGAGCCCGTCCACGTTCAGCCTGGGGGATCCCCGGGGATCCAGTGGGTCCCAGGAGCAGATCCCGAAGGATTTGGGGGATTTGGGGTGTTTGGGGTGTTTTGAGAGGAGATTTGGGGAGAAATTTGGGGAATTTGGGGGTTTGGGAGAGCACCAGGAACCCGTCCACGTTCAGCCTGGGGGATCCCGGGGATCCGGTGGGTCCCGGGAGCGGATCCCGAGGGGTTTGGGGGGATTTGGGGGATTTTCGAGGGGTTTTGGGGGGGATTTTTGGGGTTTTGGAAGGATCAAAAGGAGATTTTCGGGGTTCAGAACAGCACCAGGAGCCCGTCCACGTTCAGCCTGAGGGATCCCCGGGGATCCAGTGGGTCCCAGGAGCGGATCCCGAGGGATTGGGGGATTTAGGAGGGAAATTGGGGGATTTGGGAAGGATTTTGGGGGAATTTGGAGAGAATTTGGGAAGGATTTTGGGGGATTTGCGAAGGATTTGGGGGATTTGGGAAGGATTTTGGGGGATTTTGGGGAATTTTGGGGATTTGGGATGGACTTGGGAAGGATTTGGGAAGGATTTTGAGGAATTTTTTGAGGGAATTTTGGGGATTTGGGAAAGATTTTGGGGGATTTGGGAAGGATTTTGGGGATTTGGGAAGGATTTTGGGGGATTTGGGAAGGATTTGGGGGGATTTTGGGGGATCTGGGAAGGATTTGAGGGGATTTTGGGGATCTGGAAAGGATTTTGGGGGATTTGGGAAGGATTTTGGGGGATTTGGGGGGATTTTGGGGGATTTGGGAAGGATTTTGGGGGGATTTGGGAAGGATTTGGGGGGATTTTGGGGGATCTGGGGGGTCCCGGATCTTTGAACAGCCCCAGATCCTCGGGGGGGCAGGGGCGGCTCAAATGTCCCAAAATTCCCTCAGATCACCCCAAAATCCCCCTCAGGTTTCGCAAAACTACCCCAAAATTCCCCCCAAAACTCCAAAATTCCCCCCAAAATCCCTCAAAATTCACCAAAATCCCCTCAAATCCCACCCCAAAACCCCCAAATTCCCCCAAACCCGCAAAATCCCCCTGAAATCCCCTCAAATCCCCCAAAATCCCCTCAAAAACCCCCCAAAAAACCCCAAATTCTCCCCAAATCCCCTCAAATTCCCAAACACCACAAAAATCCCAAAAAGGTCCCAACATTCCCCCAAAATTCCCCCAAATACCCCGAAATTCTCCCCAAAACCCCTCAAATTCCCCCACAATCCCCCAAAATCCCCTCGAATTTCCCAAATACCCCAAAATTCCCCCAAACCACCAAAAATTTCCCCAAAATTCTGCCCAAACCCCCAAAATCCTCCCAAATTCACCGAAATTCCCTCAAATCCCCCAAAATTCCCCCAAATCCCCTCAAATCCTTCAAAATTCTCCTCAAAAGTCCCCTCAAATGTCCCAAATCCCCCAAAATCGCCCCAATTCCCCAAAAACTCCCCCCAAACCCCCAAATCCCTTCGAATTCCCTCAAAGTCTCCCCCAAATCGCCCAAAATCCCCCAAAATTCCCCAAAACCCCGAAAATTTCCGGCAAACCCCAATTCCCCACAACTCCCTCAAAATTTCCCCCAAATTCCCCCCAAAACTGCAAAATTCCGCCCAAAATCCACCAAAATTCGCCCCAAACCCCCAAAATCTCCCTCAAATCGCCCAAAATCCCCTCAAATTCCCCCAAAAAACCCCCAAAAAAACCCAAATTTGCCCCAAATCGCCCCTCACTTCATGGCTCGCGCCGCTGCCGCGCGCCGCCGCCGAGGCCCCGCCCCCTCCGCCGCCTCGCGCTCCGATTGGTCAGCGCTGATCAGCCTCGCTCTCCCATTGGCTGCCGCAGCTGCCACTCATGGGGAGGGGGGAGCGGTGCCGGGGAGGAGCAATCGAGCGCCGAGCGATGGATCGGGGGAGGTGGGAGGGGCGGAAAAATTTGGGATTTTTTGGGGGATTTTGGGGAATTTTGGGGATTTTGGGGATTTTTGGGTCTTTGGGGACATTGGGGGAAGTGCGATTAAAATGTTGGGGTTTTTTGGAGGGTTTTGGGGTTTTTGGAGACATTGTCGGGGTGGGGGTGACAAAAAATTCGGGGATTTGGGGTTTTTTTTATTTTTTGGGGGATTTTTTTGGAATTTTCGGGGGCATTTGGGGACTTTGGGGGAGGGGCGACAAAAAATTTGGGGAATTTTGGTGATTTTTTTTGATTTTTTAAAAAAAATCTTGGGGACTTCTGAGGACATTGTGGGAGGAGACGACGAAAATTTTGGGGATTTTTTTTTAATTTTTGGGATTTTTGGGGACATTTGGTGGGGGAGGGGAAGGAAATTTTGGGGTTTTTGGGGCATTTGGGTGATTTTGGGGGGCATTTGGGGCTGTGACGTCACAGAGGGCGGGGTCAGAGAGGGGCGTGGCCTCCCGATGCCCCGTTAATAAAATCTCATTTGCATATATCTGCATAAATTAAATTTTATTTGCATTTCACGCTTTTATTGCCAAAAAAGCTCCCGCGGGAAGCGGAAAAAAACCCGCGAGAATTCACCCGAAGCGCAGTGAAAAAACCCCCGAAATTTGGGGAAAAAATCCCAAATTTGGGGAAAAAACACAAAGCAAAGGGAAAAAATCCCAAATTTGGGGAAAAAACACAAATAAAAGTCCCAAATTCGGGGGAAAAACCCAAATTGGAGGGAAAAAAAATCCCAAATTTGGGGAAAAAACACAAAGTGGAGCGGAAAAATCCAAAATTTGGGGAAAAAAACCACAAAGCAGAGGGGAAAAATCCCAAATTTGGGGGAAAAGGCACAAATTGGCAGAGGAAAATCCCAAATTTGGGGAAAAGGGCAGAAATTGGATCGGAAAAAATCCCAAATTTCATTTTTTTCCTGATTAAAAAGCTCCCCCAGCTCAGCATTCCCTGACCTGAACTCATTTTGGGGGGAAAAAACCCAATTTGGGGAAAAATACCCCAATTTTGAGGAAGAAAACCCCAATTTTGGGGAAGAAAACCCCAATTTAGGGGGGAAAAAGAAATCCCAATTTTGGGGATGAAACCCCAATTTTGGGGGAAAAAATCTAATTTTGGGGAAAAATACCCCAATTTTTGGGAAAAAACCCCAATTTTGGGGAAAAAAAATCCCAAATTTGGGGAAAAAAATCCCAAATTTGGGGAAAAATACCCCAATTTTGGGGGAAAAAATTCCAATTTTGGGGAAAAACACCCCAATTTTTGGGAAAAACACCCCAATTTTTGGGAAAAAACCCCAATTTTGGGGAAAAAAAATCCGATTTTGGGGTTTGTGGCTGGAGGGCAGAAGGAATTTGGGGGAAATGAGGAATTTTGGGGTTTCTGGGGAGCCCCGGGGGTAAAAATCCACCGATTGAGGCAATTTTGGGGCGTTTTGAGGGAATTTGGGGTTTTTCTGGGAGGAGGCCGATTCCCGCTGATTCCTGGTGCAGATCCCAGCAGATCCCAGCAGATTCTGAGGGGATCCCAGTCGATCCCAGCAGGATCCCTGTTCCTGGTTATGATCACAGTAGATCCCAGTAGATCCCCACTGATTCTGGGGGGATCCCAGCAGATCCAGCAGGGTCCCTGTTCCTGGAGCAGATCCCAGCAGATTCCAGGGGGATCCCAGCAGATCCAGCAGGATTCCCACTTGCAGCCATCCCTGGGTTTGGTATTGATTCCACCAGATTCTGAAGGGATCCTGAGTGGATCCAGCAGGATCCCCACTTCCAGGGACCCCCATTTTTGCTGTCAGTCCTGGCAGATCCCAGCGGATCCAGCGGGATCCCCACTGGCAGAGATCCCTGATCCTGGTGCAGATCCCAGCAGGATCCCTGTGCAGATCCACCCGGATCCCAGTTCCTGGTGCAGATCCCAGCATATTCCGGAGGGATCCCAGCAGATCCAGTGGGATCCCCACTTGCAGCCATCCCTGGGCTTGGTATCGATTCCAGCAGATTCTGTCAAGATCCCAGCAGATCCAGCAGGATCCCTGTTCCTGGAGCAGATCCCGGGGAGATCCCAGCAGACCCAGCAGGATCCCCCCTCGCCGACACCGCTGTGCTCACCCGCCAGATCCCTGCAGACCCCGTTGGATCCCAGTGGATCCCGGGATCGTGTCTCAGCGGGGCTGCCGGCCCAGCCTGCGGAAGACGCTGCGGGAGCCGCAGGAGCTGCGGGAGGCGCTGCCGCCGCAGGAGGAGCCGCAGGAGCTGCTGGACACGGCCCCGTCCTGCATCGCTGCAGATCCATCCCGGCGCCGCTTCAGCACTCCGGCGTAGGGCAGCGCCTCGGGATCCGCCTGATCCCCTGATGGATCCCCCTGAGGATCCCCCGAGGGATCCCCGGAGCTCTCCGGGGCCGCGCCCAGGCGGCCGAACACCCCCGAGGGCTGCGGGGAGAGAGCGCCATGGGTGGGGCCGGTGGATCCCGGTCCTGCCCTGGATCCTGGATCCCTCCCCTGGATCCCAAATCCTCCCCCAGATCCTTCTCTGGATCCCAAACCCTGCCCTGGATCCCAAATCCTCCCTCTCCCTGGATCCTGATCCCCCTGGATCCCAAATACCTCCCCCAGACCCTGCCCTGGGTCCCAAATCCTTCCCTGGATCACAAATCCTGCCCGGGATCCCAAATCCCTCCCCCTCCCTGGATCCTGATCCCCCTGGATCCCAAATCCTCCCCTGGGTCCCAAATCCTGCCCCGGATCCCAAATCCTTCCCTGGATCCCAAATCCCTCCCCCAGATCCTTCCCTGGATCCCAGATCCCCTCCCCCTCCCTGGATGCTGAATTACCAATCCCTGAGTGGATCCCAGATCCCGCCCTGGATGGATCCTGCACCTCCCCTGGATGTTTTCCTCCACCAATCCCCCCCCCCCCCCCACATCCTGATCCCCCCGGATCCCCCCTGGGATCCACCCAAATCCCCCCCGACTTCCCCATTTCTCCCCAAATCCCCCCCAGATCCCCCCCGATCCCTCAGGATCCCCCCCAGATCCCCCAAATCCCCCCAGACCCCCCTGGATCCCCCAGATCCCAACACATTCCTCCTGGATCTCCCCAGATCCCCCCAAATCCCCTCTAAATCTCCCTGGATCCCCCATTTCTCCCCAAATCCCCCCCAGATCCCTCAGGATCCCCCTCAGATCCCCCAAATCCCCCATTTCTCCCCAAATCTCCCCCCAGATCCCTCAGGATCCCCCCTGGATCCCCCCAAATCCCTCATTTCTCCACAAATCCCCCCCAAATCCCCCCATTTCTCCCCAGATCCCTCAGGATCCCCCCCAGATCCCCCCGGATCCCCCCTCACCTTCCCCGTGGCCGCTTTGGCCTCGGCCCCGAGGCGCTCGAACACCGACGGCCGGGCCGGGGCTGGAAACGGGGCGAGAAATGGGAATTTGGGGAAAAATCCGGGATTTGGGGGGGAAATGGGGGATTTGGGGGAAAAAAAATGGGGGATTTTGGGGAAATGGGGGATTTGGGGAAAAAATGGGGGATTTTGGGGAAAAATGGGATTTTGGGGGGAAATGGGGGATTTTGGGGAAACTGGGGGGGGAATTCAGGATCCAGGAGGGAAATTTGGGATCTGGAGGGGAAATTCTGGAATCTGGAAGGGAAATCTGGGATTTGGAGAGGAAATCTGGGATCCAGGAGGGGAAATCTGGGATCTGGGAGAAGGAATTCAGGATCTGGGAGGGGAAATTTGGGATCTGGAGGGGAAGTTCGGGATCCGGGAGTGGAAATCTGGGATCCAGGAGGGGAAATCCGGAATCCCCTCCCGTTTCCCATCAGGCGATGTGGGGCTGCGGGATCGGGGATCCACCGGGGATCCCCGGGGCCGTACCGGGGGCGGCAGGTGGGATCTGGCGCAGGATCTGGCGGCCGGCGCCGGCCTGGGGCGGGGAGATCCGGGAGATCCGGGGGATCCGGGGGATCCGGGGGATCCGGTACCGGCCCGGGGCCGCGGCCGTCACCCGACGCTGCCGCGGAGCCGCTGGAGCCGCCGTGGGGCCGGAGCCGCCTGCGGGGAGAGGGATCAGGCAGGGGATCCGCGGGGATCCGGGGGATCCCTGATCCCTCTGGGCGGGTCCCAGACCCCTCCTGATCCCTCAGGATGGATCCCAGCCCCTCTGGATGGATCCCAGACCCTCTGGATGGATCCCAGACCCTCCCTGATCCCTCTGGATTCTCCCTGATCCCTCTGGATGGATCCCAGCTCCTCGTGATGGATCCCAGCCCCTCCCCTGATCCCTCTAAATGGATCCCAGCCCCTTTGGGGTGGATCCCAGCCCCTCTGGATGGATCCCAGCCCCTCCTGGTCCCTTTGGAGCCTCCCAGATCCCTTTGGGTGTATCCCAGCCCCTCCCTGATTGGTCTGGATGGATCCCAGCCCCTCCCCTGATCCCTCTGGATCCTCTCTGATCCCTCTGGATGGATCCCAGCCCCTCTGGATGGATCCCAGCCCCTTTGGGTGGATCCCTGAGGGATCTTTTGGGTGAGAAAAGCCCCATTTGGAGACCCCAGCCCCACAGTGGATCCCCGGGGCAATCCCGGGATCTTTTGGGCGGGATCCGGTGTGGGGATCCGCTCCCGGCCTTACCGGCGCCGTTGGGGACGGTGACGCAGATCCCGGCGCCGGGCGGGTTCCGTGGGGCGGGATCCCGGCTCAGGCTGTTGGCGATCATCCTGCCCGCCGCCCCGACGGGATCCCGCTGATCCCGATCCCGCTGATCCCGGAGATCCCGGGGATCCCGCTGATCCCGGTGATCCTGATCCTGCTGATCCTGGAGATCCCGATCCCGGTGATCCCGCTGCTCCTGATCCCAGTGATCCTGGTGACCCCAGTCCCGCCGATCCCGCCGATCCCGGTGATCCACTTGATCCCGCAGCGCCTCCGAGGCCGCGCGGCACATCTCCTGCAGGACCCACGGAGCACGGGGGGGTTGGGGGTTCCCCGGATCCCGGCGGATCCCGGCAGATCCCGGCGGATCCCGGGGATCCCGTACCTGCCGGTGCACCAGGCGGGCGTGGCGCAGGATGGCGATGACGTCGCCCACGGCCGTCACCCCCAAATCCTTCATCAGCTCCTTGGTCAGCTCCAGCAGCATGTCCTTGTGGATCCTGCGGGGACAGGGATCCACCGGGATCTGCTGTGGGATCCGCTGGGATCCGCTGCGGGATCCACCCCCAGATCCGCCTGGGTTCCAATGAAATCCACCCCAAATTCAATGGGATCCACCCCCAGTAACCCCCACTGTGTCCTTGTGGATCCTGCGGGGACAGGGATCCGCTGTGGGATCTGCTGTGGGATCTGCTGTGGGATCCACCCCCCAGTGACCCCCACTGGGTCCTTGTGGATCCTGCGGGGACAGGGATCCACTGGGATCCACCAGGATCTGCTGCGGGATCCACCCCCAGATCCGGCCGGGTTCCAGTGAAACCCACCCCAAATTCCGTGGGATCCACCCCCCGTGACCCCCACTGGGTCCTTGTGGATCCTGCAGGGACAGGGATCCACTGTGGGATCCACTGTGGGATCCACCCCGAAATCCCGGCAGGTGACAATGAAACCCACCCCAAATTCCATGGGATCCACCGGGATCCACCCCCGGTGACCTCCACTGGTCCTTGTGGATCCTGTGGGATCCTCTCACCCCATTTTTGGGCTCTCTCGCCCCATTTTTGGAGTTTTCTCCCCGTTTTTGGGGTTTTGTCCCCATTTTTGGGGTCCCTCACCCCATTTTTGGGTCTCTCTCCCCATTTTTGGGTCTCTCTCCCCCGATTTTGGGGTTTTCTCCCCCGATTTTGGGCTTTTCTCCCCGATTTTGGGGTTTTCTCCCCAGTTTTGGGGTTTTCTCCCCCGATTTTGGGGTTTTCTCCCCATTTTTGGGCTCTCTCACCCCATTTTTGGGGTTTTCTCCCTGATTTTGGGGTTTTCTCCCCCATTTTTGGGGTTTCTCACCCCATTTTTGGTGTTTTCTCCCCGATTTTGGGGTTTTCTCCCCGTTTTGGTGTTTTCTCCCCGATTTTGGGGTTTTCTCCCCGATTTTGGGGTTTTCTCCCCGATTTTGGGGTTTCTCTCCCCATTTTTGGGTCTCTCTCCCCCATTTTTGGTGTTTTCTCCCTGATTTTGGTGTTTTCTCCCCGATTTTGGGGTTTTCTCCCTCATTTTTGGGGTTTCTCACCCCATTTTTGGGTCTCTCTCCCCATCTTTGGGTATCTCCCCCCGATTTTGGGGTTTTCTCCCTGATTTTGGTGTTTTCTCCCCAATTTTGGGGTTTTCTCCCCGATTTTGGGGTTTTCTCCCCCCGATTTTGGGGTTTTCTCCCCGATTTTGGGGTTTTCTCCCCCATTTTTGGGTCTCTCACCCCATTTTTGGGGTCTCTCCCCCCGTTTCGGGGTCCCACCTGTTGTCCACGAAGGCCACGGCGTAGCCCAGCGCGGGGCCCGGCGGGATCCCGGCGTCCTCGAAGAAGCGCAGCCACTCCGAGGTGGCTGGAACGGGGCAAAAAACCGGGAATTTGGGAAAAAACGGGGGAAAAGTGGCGAAAAATGGGAAAATACGGGGGGAAAATGGGAAAATACAGGGGGAAAGTGGGGAAATATGGGGGGAAAATGAGGGAAAAATGAGAATAAATGAACATAAATGAGGAGAAATTTGGGATAAATTGGGGGGAAATGGGGAGAAAACTGGAAAAAAACAGGGAAAAATTGAGATAAATGTGGAAAAATGGAGGGAAAATGGGAAAAATGGGGGGAAATGGGGATAAATTGGAGAAAAGTGCCGGAAAATAGGGGGGAAATGGGGAAAAAGGGGGGAAAAAACGGGGGAAAATTTGGAAAGGGGTGGGGAAATGGGATTTGGGGGAAAAAATGGGATTTAAGGGGAAAAAAAGGATTTAAGGGGTGGAAAATGGGATTTAAGGGGAAAAAAAGGGATTTAAGGGGTGGAAAAATGGGATTTAAGGGGAAAAAAAGGGATTTAAGGGGTGGAAAAATGGGATTTTGGTTTTGGCCATTTCGGGGCATTTTGAGGGTGTTTTAGGGGATTTTAGGTGGTTTTTGTGGGGTTTTTGTGGCGTTTTTGGCCATTTCGGGGTATTTTGAGGGTGTTTCAGGGTATTTCAGGTGGTTTTGGGGGGTTTTTGGGGTGTTTTTGGCCATTTCAGGGTATTTTGAGGGTGTTTTGGAGGATTTTAGGTTTTTTGGGGCTGTTTTGGGGGTGTTTTTGGCCGCTTCGGGGTATTTTGAGGGTGTTTCAGGGTATTTTAGGTGGTTTTTAGGGGTTTTTGGGGTGTTTTTGGCCGTTTCGGGGTATTTTGAGGGTGTTTCAGGGTATTTCAGGTGGTTTTGGGGGTGTTTTTGGCTGTTTCGGGGTATTTTGAGAGTATTTTAGAGGATTTGAGGTGGTTTTTGGGGTGTTTTTGGCCGTTTCGGGGTGGTTTCGTGCTCCGTCCCTCACCCATGGCCGGGCCGGGTTTGGCAGATCCGGATCAGGCAGGAGCGGCCTGGGGGGGGGGAGGGGAGGGGAGGGGTCAGGGGGGTCCTGAGGGGCTGCCCCCCACCCCCCCCACCCCAGAGACCCCCAAAACCCCCCCCGGACCCCTCCTCAATTTCCCTTCCCCCTCAGACCCCCTTTTTCCTCCTCCTGACCCCCCAAACACCCCTCAGACCCCCCCAAAACCCCCCAGACCCCTCCTCAATCTCCCCCAGACCCCCTTTTTCCTCCCCTTGACCCCCCCAAACACCCCAGACCCCCCAAAGCCCCCAGACCCCTCCTAAATCTCCCCCAGACCCCCTTTTTCCTCCCCATGACCCCCCCAAAAGCCCCCAGACCCCCCAGACCCCCCAAAACCCCCCAGACCCCTCCTCAATCTCCCCCAGACCCCCTTTTTTCCTCCCTTTGACCCCCCCAAACACCCTCAGACCCCTCAGACCCCCCAAACACCCCCAAATTCCCTCAGACCCCCCCAAATTCCCTTTTCCCCCCCGATTCCTCCCCTCCCCCAGACCCCTCCTCATTCCCCCTCTCCCCCCATTTCCCCTCCCCCCCAGACCCCCCAAATTCCCTTTTTCCCCCCAAATTTCCCTTTTTCCCCCCAATTCCTCCCCTCCCCCCCCCTCACCTCCCCCGGGCCCGCGCGGGGCCGCGCCGGAAGTGACGTCACCGGAGGGGCGGGGCCGAGGGGCGCCCCCCCGCGGACGGAGCGCGCGCGCGGCGCTGGACGGTACCAAGGGCGGGGGGGGCGGGGGGGGACGGACCCGAAACTGCCCCAAAATCTGACCAAAAACTGATCCGAAACGGCCCAAAAACTGATCCGAAACTGCCCAAAAACCGATCTGAAACTGCCACAAAATCTGACCAAAAACCGGCCCAAAACTGACCCGAAACTGCCCCAAAATCTGACCAAAAACTGCCCCAAAATCTGACCAAAAACTGACCCGAAACGGCCCAAAAACTGACCCGAAACTGCCCCAAAAACCGACCCGAAACTGCCCCAAAAACTGATCCGAAACTGCCCCAAAATCTGACCAAAAACTGACCCGAAACGGCCCAAAAACTGATCCGAAACTGCCCAAAAACTGCCCAAAAAAATTGATCCGAAACAGCCCAAAAACTGATCTGAAACCACCACAAAATCTGCCCCAAAACTGATCCGAAACTGCCCAAAAACTGATCCGAAACTGCCCAAAAACTGATCTGAAACTGGCCCAAAACTGATCTGAAACTGCCCCAAAAACTGATCCGAAACTGCCCAAAAACCGACCCGAAACTGCCCAAAAACTGACCAAAAACCGATCCGGAACAGCCCAAAAACTGATCCGAAACTGCCCCAAAAACTGATCCGAAACTGCCCCAAAAACTGATCCGAAACTGCCCCAAAACTGATCTGAAACTGCCACAAAAACTGATCTGAAACCGCCACAAAATCTGCCCAAAAACCGACCCGAAACTGCCCAAAACTAATCCGAAACTCCCCCAAAACTGCCCAAAAACCGATCCGGAACAGCCCAAAAACTGATCTGAAACTGTCCAAAAAACTGATCCGAAACTGTCCCAAAATCTGCCCCAAAACCGCCCCAAAACAGCCACGGGTCCCAAATGTGTCCCCAAATGTGTCCCAAATGTCTCCCTAAAATCGTCCCCAAAATGACCCCAAAAGTGTCCCAAATGTGTCCCTAAACTGGCCCCAAAAGTGGCCCCAAAAGTGGCCCCAAATTTGTCCCTAAACTGACCCTAAAATTGTCCCCAAACTGGCCCTAAAACTGTCCCCAAAATGACCCAAAAACTATCCCCATTGTGCCCTAAAATTGTCCCTAAAACTGTCCCCAAAATGACCCCAAAAGTATCCCCATTGTGCCCTAAAATTGTCCCCAAACTGACCCCAAAACTGTCCCCAAACTGACCCCAAAAGTGGCCCCAAAATGACCCCAAAAGTGGCCCCAAATGTCCCTGACCCCATCCCCGAACCCAAATTTGGGCCCCCCCCTGCCCCGAGGGGGCCCAGCCCCATTTTGGGGTGGGGGAGGTCCCTTCCCTCCCCTCCCCGCACTCGGACCCCGCGGATTTTGGGGTTTCCTCTGAACCCCGGGAATTTTGGGGTTTCCCTGAACCCCGGGGATTTTGGGGTTCCCCTGAACCCCGGGGATTTTTGGGGTTTCCCTGAACCCCGGGATTTTTGGGGTTTCCCCTGAACCTCGGGGATTTTGGGGTTTCCCCTGAACCCCGGGGATTTTTGGGGTCCCTCCCCTGCCCCGCACCCCAAAAACCCCAAACGCCCCCAGGGGGTAAATCCGGATTTTCCTGTTCCAGCCTCGTGCCGGGATGGGGCTGGACGGAGCCTACGCGCAGGTAGGGCCGGGGACACCCCAAAAACCCGAATTTGGGGGTCCCAGAGCACCCCAAAACACAACTCCTGTGGATTCCCTGCCCCAAAAACTGACTTTGGGACTCCTGAGACACCCCAAAACCCAAATTGGGGGGATTCCCTGCCCCAAAAACTGAATTTGGGACTCCTGGGACACCCCAAAACCCAACTCCTGTAGATTCCCTGCCCCAAACCCCAAATTTGGGACTCCTGGGACACCCCAAATCCCAAATTGGGTGGGTTCCCTGCCCCAAACCCCAAATTTGGGACTCCTGGGACACCCCAAAACCCAAATTGGGGGGATTTCCTGCCCCAAACCCCAAATTTGGGGTCCTGGGACACCCCAAAACCCAAACCAGGGGGATTTCCTGCCCCAAACCCCAAATTTGGGACTCCTGGGACACCCCAAATCCCAAATTGGGTGGGTTCCCTGCCCCAAACCCCAAATTTGGGACTCCTGGGACACCCCAAAACCCAAATTGGGGGGATTTCCTGCCCCAAACCCCAAATTTGGGACTCCTGGGACACCCCAAAACCAACTCCTGTGGGTTCCCTGCCCCAAACCCCAAATTTGGGGTTCCCAGACCTCTTCATTTGGGATCCCAGAGCCCCCAGCTGCCCAAATTTTGGGGTTCCCCCACCCCAAACTCCCTGGGGAGCCCCGGGGAATGGGGGCGGGGCGATCCTGGCAATTTCGGGGTGTTTTTCAACCCACCCCTCCCCAAATTTGGGGTCCTCACCCCCAAATTCGGCTCCTTCCCCCCAGCTGGACCCTCTGGAGCCGCGGGCGGCGCCGCCCCCCAAGGTACCCCCACCCCCCATCCCTTCCCTGCTCGTGGAGGGGACAGAACCCCAAAAACTCACTGAAACCCCCCAAATTTGGGGTTCCCCAGCGCCCCACCGGCGCCGCGCTCTTCGCCGGCCTCTCCATCCTCTTCCTCCTCACCTTCCTCCTCCTCCTCCGCCTCCGCCTCCGCCCCGATGCCACCACCACCGACACCGACATCGCCTGTGAGAACACCTGCAGGTAAATCCGGATTTTGGGGGTCCCCCAACCCCCGGGGCACCCCAAAAACCCCAAATTCTGCAGGATCGTGCTGGTGGAGAGCGTCCCCGAGGGGCTGGAGCTGCGCCCCCCGGCCGGGCCCGGCACGGCCCAGACGTGGCTGGAGCTGGTGGCCACGGCCCGGCACAGCCTGGACATCGCCTCCTTCTACTGGACACTGACCAACGGCGACACGCGCACGCACGAGCCCAGCGCCCTCCAGGTCTGCCACAAACGTTTCCATTCAGTTTTCCCTTTTTCCCCCATTTTTTCCCCATTTTTTTCCCCCATTTTCCCCCATTTTTCCCCATTTTTTCCCCATTTTTTCCCCATTTTCCCCCATTTTTTCCCCATTTTTTGCCCCATTTTTGCCCTTTATTCCCCATTTTTTGCCAGATTTTTGCCCCATTTTTTCCTGTTTCTTTCCCAATTTTTACCCATTTTTTGCCTGGGTTTTACCTGGTTCTAGCCCATTTTATACCGAATTTTTTGCCCATTTTTGCCCATTTTTACCCGGTGTTTTTGGGGGGCTGGTGGCCACGGCCCGGCGCAGCCTGGACATCGCCTCCTTCTACTGGACACTGACCAACGGCGACACGCGCACGCACGAGCCCAGCGCCCTCCAGGTCTGCCACAAACATTTCCATTCGTTTTTCCCATTTTCCCCCATTTTCCCCCCATTTTTTGCCCTTTTTTCCCCATTTTCCCCCTTTTTTTTGCCCCATTTTTGCCCTTTTTCCCCCCTTTTTTGCCAGTTTTTTGTCCATTTTTTCCTGTTTCTTTCCCGATTTTTGCCCTTTTTTTGCCTGGGTTTTACCTGGTTCTCACCCATTTTATACCGAATTTTTTGCCCATTTTTGCCCATTTTTACCCGGTGTTTTTGGGGGGCTGGTGGCCACGGCCCGGCGCAGCCTGGACATCGCCTCCTTCTACTGGACACTGACCAACGGCGACACGCGCACGCACGAGCCCAGCGCCCTCCAGGTCTGCCACTAACATTTCCATGCATTTTCCCCATTTTCCCCCATTTTCCCCCATTTTCCCCCATTTTTCCCCCATTTTTTGCCTAATTTTTGCCCCATTTTTGCCCCATTTTTGCTCATTTCCTGTCCCATTTTTTGCCTGGTTTTTGACCATTTCCCCCCCCATTTTTCCCCAATTCCCACCCATTTTTTCCACATTTCCCCCCATTTCCCCCATTTCCCCTGTTTTCTCCCATTTCCCCCATTTCCCCCCCATTTTCACCCATTTCCCCCCGTTTTCCCCCATTTCCCTCCCATTTTCTCCCCACTTTATCCCCAATTCCCCCCATTTTTTCCCAATTCCCCCGTTTTTTCCCAATTCCCCCCGTTTTTCCCCAATTCCCCCCGTTTTTTCCCAATTCCCCCCATTTTCTCCCCATTTCCCTCCCATTTTATCCCCATTTTCCCCCATTTTTCCCCAATTCCCCCCATTTTTCCCCAATTCCCACCCATTTTTCCTCATTTCCCACCATTTTCCCCCATTTTTCCCTAATTTGCCCCGTTTTCCCCATTTCCCCCATTTCCCCCCATTTCCCCCCATTTTTCCCCATTTTCCTCCCATTTTCTCCCCATTTTTTCCCAATTCCCCCCGTGTTTTCCCAATTCCCTCCCATTTTTCCCCATTTCCCTCCCATTTTCTCCCCATTTTTCCCCATTTTTACCCATTTTTCCCCATTTCCCTCCCATTTTCTCCCCATTTTTCCCCGTTTTCCCCCATTTTTCCCCATTTCCCTCCCATTTTCTCCCCAATTCCCCCCGTTTCCCCCCAATTCCCCCCGTTTTTTCCCAATTCCCCCCATTTTAACCCCAATTCCCCCCGTGTTTTTCCCAATCCCCCCCGTTTCCCCCGATCCCGGCGCAGGGCGAGCGTGTCCTGGCGGAGCTGCTGCGGCTGCCGGGCCGCGGCGTGGCGGTGCGCGTGGCGGTCAGCGCGCCCTCGCCGGCGGCGCCGACGGACGACCTGCGGGCGCTGGAGCGCAGCGGTGAGCGGGGCGGGGGCGCCCCCGAGTTTGGGGGTCCCGGTGTGGGGTGGGGGTCTCGGGGGTCGGCGCGGTGGGAGACGACCGGTGCCGTGCCGCAGGGGCGGCCGTGCGCGCCGTGGATCTGCCGCGCCTCACCGGCGGCGTGCTGCACACCAAGTTCTGGCTGGTGGACGGCGTCCATCTCTACCTCGGCAGCGCCAACATGGACTGGAGGGCCCTGACGCAGGTGGGTCGTGCCGGCGCCGGAAAGAACCAACCGGGGCTGGTGCCGAACCCCATGGGAGGTGCCAAACCCAACGGGGATTGGGCCAAACCCAATGGGATTGGTGCCAAATCCAATGGATGGTGCCAAATCCAATGGATGGTGCCAAACCCAATGGGATTGGTGCCAAACCCCATGGGTGGTGCCGAACCCGATGGGTGGTGCCAAACCCAAAGGGTGGTGCCAAACCCAACGTGGGTGGTGCCGAACCCAATGGGATTGGTGCCGAACCCCATGGGTGGTGCCAAACCAAACATGGGTGGTGCCAAACCCAATGGATGGTGCTAAACCCAATGGGATTGGTGTCAAACCCAGTGGGTGGTGCCAAACCCAATGGATGGTGCCAAACCCAACGTGGATGGTGCCAAACCCGATGGGTGGTGCCAAACCCAATGGGTGGTGCCAAATCCAATCGATGGTGCCAAACCCAATGGGATTGGTGCCAAACCTAATGGATGGTGCCAAACCCAATGGGGCTGGTGTCAAATCCAATGAGGTTGACCCCAAACCCAGTGAGGTTGACCCCAAACCCAGTGATGTTGACCCCAAACCCAGTGAGGTTGACCCCAAACCCAATGAGGTTGACCCCAAACCCAGTGAGGTTGACCCCAAACCCAATGAGGTTGACCCCAAACCCAATGAGGTTGACCCCAAACCCAATGAGGTTGACCCCAAACCCAGTGAGGTTGACCCCAAACCCAGCATGGACAATGCCAAACCCTCCGTTTGGCACCGAACCCAACGGCTCGGGCACCACCCCCCCCGGCGCCGGGGCTGTCCCAATCTTTGCCCACCGGGGAGAGCCAACGGCGCCGTCCGCGCGTCGCCGCAGGTGAAGGAGCTCGGAGCCGCCATCTACAACTGCAGCTGCTTGGCCAAAGATTTGGGCAAAATCTTCGAGGCCTACTGGGCCCTGGGCGTTCCCGGCGCGTCCATCCCGGCGCCGTGGCCGGACAATTTCTCCACCTCCATCAACGCCGCGACGCCGCTGGAGACGACGCTCAACGACACCGCGGCCGCCGTCTACTTCTCGGTAGGTGCCAAACCCAATGGGGATGGTGCCAAACCAAATGTGATTGGTGCCAAACCCAATGGATGGTGCCAAACCCAATGGATGGTGCCAAACCCAATGGATGGTGCCAAACCCAATGGGATTGGTGCCAAACCCAATGGGTGGTGCCAAACCCAATGGGATTGGTGCCAAACCCAATGGGATTGGTGCCAAATCCAATGGATGGTGTCAAACCCAATGGATGGTGCCAAATCCAATGGATGGTGCCAAACCCAATGGATGGTGCCAAACCCAATGGGATTGGTGCCAAACCCAATGGGATTGGTGCCAAACCCAATGGATGGTGTCAAACCCAATGGATGGTGCCAAATCCAATGGGTGGTGCCAAACCCAACGTGGATGGTGCCAAACCCAATGGGATTGGTGTCAAACCCAATGGATGGTGCCAAACCCAATGGATGGTGTCAAACCCAATGTGGATGGTGCCAAACCCAATGGGATTGGGCCAAATCCAATGGGATTGGTGCCAAACCCAATGGATGGTGCCAAATCCAATGGGATTGGTGCCAAACCCAATGGGGTTGGTGCCAAACCCAATGGGGCTGGTGTCAAACCCAATCGATGGTGCCAAACCCAACGTGGATGGTGTCAAACCCAATGGATGGTGCCAAACCCAATGGATGGTGCCAAACCCAATGGGTGGTGCCAAATCCAATGGATGGTGCCAAACCCAATGGATGGTGCCAAACCCAATGGGTGGTGCCAAACCCAATGTGGATGGTGCCAAACCCAATGGACGGTGCCAAACCCAATGGATGGTGCCAAACCCAATGGACGGTGCCAAACCCAATGCTGAACCGCGCGGCGCCGCTCCCGGCAGAGCTCCCCGCCGCCGCTCTGCGCCGCCGGCCGCACCGGCGACCTGGAGGCGCTGCTGGGCGTGGTGGACGGCGCCGAGGAGTTCGTGGACGTGGCGGTGATGAGTTACGTGGTGGGCACCGAGTTCTCGCGGCCGCGGCGCTTCTGGCCGGCCATCGACGAGCGGCTGCGGCGCGCCGTGGTGGAGCGCGGCGTGCGGCTGCGGCTGCTGGCCGGCTGCTGGCCCCACAGCCGCGCCGAGATGTTCCCCTCCCTGCGCTCGCTGGCCGCCCTCGCCGACAACCGCACCGGCTTCGGCGTCGAGGTGGTGGGTGCCGGCCGGGGGACGGCGGGGGGGTGGTGGCATTGGGGATGGCAGGGACATTGGGGGTGGCGGTGGCATTGGGGGTGGCGGTGACATCAGGGGGTGGCAGTCCCTTCAGGGGTGACAATCCCTCCAGGGGTGGTGACAGTCCCCTGAGGGTGGTGACAGTCCCTTGGAGGGGGTGACAGTCCCCTTGAGGGGGGTGGTGACAGTCCCTTGGAGGGGGTGACAGTCCCCTTGAGGGGGGTGGTGACAGTCCCTTGGAGGGGGTGACAATCCCTCCAGGGTGGTGACAGTCCTTGGGGGTGGTGACAATCCCTGTGGGGATGGTGACAGTGCCATCGGGGGGTCAGTGACAATCCCTTGGGCAGTTGGTGACCGTCCCTGGGGTCGGTGACCGTCCCTGGGAGATGGTGACAGTGCCACTGGGGGGTCGGTGACTGTCCCTGGGGGTTGGTGACCATCCCTCGGGGGGTCGGTGACTGTCCCATCGGGGGGTCGGTGACCGTCCCTGGTGTCGGTGACAATCCCTGGTGTCGGTGACCGTCCCTCGGTGTCGGTGACCGCCCCTGGGGGTTGGTGACAATCCCTCAGGGGATGGTGACAGTGCCATCGGGGGGTCGGTGACCGTCCCCGGTGTCGGTGACCGTCCCTGGGTGTCGGTGACCATCCCTTGGGGGGTTGGTGACCGTCCCTGGGAGATGGTGACAGTGCCATCGGGGGGTCGGTGACCGTCCCCGGTGCCGGTGACTGTCCCTGGGGGTTGGTGACCATCCTCGGTGTCGGTGACAATCCCCGGGGTCGGTGACCGTCCCTGGGGGGGGTTGGTGACCATCCCCGGTGTCGGTGACCGTCCCTGGGGGTCGGTGACCGTCCCCGGTGTCGGTGACCATCCCCGTGCGCAGCGGCTGTTCGTGGTGCCGGCCAGCGCGGCGCAGAGCCGGATCCCCTTCGCCCGCGTCAGCCACGCCAAGTTCATGGTCACCGACAAGGCCGCCTACGTCGGTCAGTGCTGCGTTCGGGACGTTTGGGGGCGTTTGGGGGTGTTTTGGGGCATTTTGGGACATTTTAGGGAGTTTTGGGGAGTTTTGGGGACATTTTGGGTTGTTTGGGGGCATTTAAGTGCGTTTTGGGGAGTTTGGGGAGTTTTGGGGCAATTTAGGGTGTTCTGAGGAGTTCTGGGAAGATTTGGGGAGGTTTGGGGCGTTTTAGGGGGGTTTTGGGGAGGTTTGGGGCGTTTTAGGGAGTTTTGGAGAGTTTTGGGGAGGTTTGGGGCATTTTAGGGCGTTTTGGGGAGTTTTGGGGAGTTCTGGGGCATTTGGGGGCGTTTTAAGGTGTTTTGAGGAGTTTGGGGGTGTTTTGTGGAGTTTTGGGGAGTTTTGAGGTGGTTTTGGGGACATCTTGGGTAGTTTTGGGTTTTTTTGGTGTGTTTTGCAGGGTTTGGGATGTTTTGGGGGTGTTTTGGGGTGTTACATGGCGTTTTGGGGCATTTTAGGGCATTTTGGAGTATTATGGGGGTTCGGGGTATTTTTGGGGCATTTTTGGGTGGTTTTCGGGGTTTTTGGAGCGGTTGGGGGGGGCATTTTGGGGCAGCTCGGACCATTTCGGGGCGTTTCAGGGTTATTTCCAGGAGGTTTTGTGCTATTTCGGGATATTTTTGAGTGGCTCGGGGCCGTTTCGGGTGCGTTTTGAGGCGTTTTGAGGCGTTTCGGGGCGGTTTTTTGGGGTGAATCCTCCCCAGTTTTTCTCTCCCCCCCAAATTCCCCGGGCAGGCACATCCAACTGGTCGGGGGATTACTTTGAGCGCACGGCGGGCGCGGCGCTGGTGGTGGCGCAGCCGGGGGCCGGCGCGGGCTCGTTCCGGCAGCGGCTCCGCGACGTTTTCGAGCGGGACTGGAGCTCCGGGTACAGCGTGGACATCGCCGAGGCCGAGCGCTGGAGCGGCCGCTGCGGGTCCCCCTAACGCCACCGGCACCGGGGCGGCGCTTTTGGGGTGAAAATCAAAGAAATGGGTTTGCGGAGGTCGTGTCGGTGCCGTTTGAGGGGGTTTGCGGTCGTTGGGTCGCCAAATCTCAACCTGGATACCCAAATTCTTCGCTGGGCCTCCAAAAGCCTCCCTTGGTTCCCAGTTCTGTCCCTGGACCCCCCAAAACTCGTCCCTGGACCCCCAAAATCCTCCCTGGAACCTCAAATCGCTTCCTGGTCTCCCAAATCCCATCCCTGGACCCCCAAAATCTCCCTGGGACCCCCAAAATCATCCCTGGACACCCAAAATCCTCCCTGGAACCTCAAACCTCTTCCTGGTCTCCCAAATCCCATCCCCGGACCCCCAAAATCCTCCCTGGACCCTCAAAATTCTCCCTGGACCCACAAAATCCTCCCTGGAACCTCAAATCGCTTCCTGGACCGCAAATCCCATCCCTGGACCCCCAAACTCCTCCCTGGACCCCCCAAATCCTCCCTGGAACCTCAAACCTCTTCCTGGTCTCCCAAATCCCATCCCTGGACCCACAAAATCCTCCCTGGACCCCCAAAATCCTCCCTGGAACCTCAAATCGCTTCCTGGACCCCAAATCCCATCCCTGGTCCTCCAAACCTCTCCCTGAACCCCCCAAAACTCGTCCCCGGACCCCCAAAATCCTCCCTGGATCCTCAAACTCCTTCCTGGACACCCAGAATCCTCCCTGGAACCTCAAACCTCTTCCTGGACCCCAAATCCCATCCCTGGTCCTCCAAACCTTTCCCTGGACCCCCCCAAAACTCGTCCCCGGACCCCCAAAATCCTCCCTGGATCCTCAAACCTCTTCCTGGTCTCCCAAATTCCATCCCTGGTGCCCCAAACGTCTCCCTGGACCCCCAAAATCCTCCCTGGACCCCCAAACTCCTCCCTGGACCCCCAATCTCCTCCGTGGACCCCCAAAATCCTCCCTGGATCCTCAAATCTCTTCCTGGTCTCCCAAATTCCATCCCTGGTGCCCCAAACGTCTCCCTGGTCCCCCAAACTCCTCCCTAGACTCCCAAAATCCTCCCCAGACCCCCAATTCCATCCCTGGTCCCACAAACTCCTCCTTGGGCCTCCAAACCCCTCCCTGGACCCCCAAATTCCTCCCTGAACCCCCCAGCCCCATCACACTCCCGATTTTTTTGGGATTAACGTTTATTCTGGCCAAAAGAAGCGTGAGGGGCCGGGGTGGGGGGCAGCACCTTTGTGCCCCCCTTCCCTGGTTAATAGAAACACCCCAAAAATGGGCACAAAACCTCAAAGCCCCCCCAGAAAAAAAGCTGGATTAGGAATTCGGGAGGGAGGGAGTTAGAGAGGGTCTGGGGGAGCTCAGTCACCGCTCTGGGGGGGTCCCCAAAGCCCCCCCAGGTTGGGAGGGGGGCTCATGGCTCGCCACAGATTTGGGGGCTCAGCACCAGCTGCGGCAGCTGGAATTTGGGGGTCCCCCCAATGCCGGGGCTTTGGGGGTCCCCGGGGCAGAGCTCCACGTCGGGGAAGCGCCTCCTCCCCAATCTGGGGGGCTCCGGCGAGGCCCCGCCGGGGGTGAAGCCCACCCAGGGGGTGAAGCCCACCCGGGGCACCCAGCGGCGGCGCCGGGGGTTCCCGTGGCGGGCGGCTCCTTCCTCCCGGCCGGGCTCGGAGCCGCCCCTCCTCATCCTCCCGGAGGGGCCAGCCCCCAATTTGGGCAGTTTCACCCCAAAACGGCGCCCGGGCGGTTCCGAGGTGCCGTCCAAGCCCGGCGGTGCCAGTTCCAGCACCGGCACCTTCAGCAGCGGCGGCTCCGGGGCGCGGCGGGGCTCGGGGCGCTCCGGTCCCGGTGCCGGTGCCGCTCCCGGTGCCGGTTCTGGTGCCGGTGCCGCTCCCGGCAGGGCGAACCCCACGGCGGGGATGGCGATCCGGGGTTTGGGCCTGGGGCGGAGGGTCCCGGGGGGCTCCGGGGCCGTCCAGCCCAGGATCAGACTCTCGGCGCTGCCCCCCCGTTTCGGGGCAGCTTTGGGGGTCCCCCCGGGGCGGAGGTCGGGGCTGGACCCCCCGAATTTGGGCAGCGCCGCCGCCGCGATGCCGAAACGCGGAGCGCGGGGCCGGGGGGAGCCCGGGGCGGCCCCGATGGCGGAGCGGGGCCCGTCCTCGGTGTCACCGAACGGCGACAGCGACAATTTGGGCACCTTCAGCTTGGCCCCGGCGTCGCCCACCGGGCCCAGGTCCAGCTCCACGCTGGGAACGGCGATCCCGGGCGGCGGCACCGGCGCGGCCCCGCCGCCCTCCCGCAGCTTGGCCAGCGCCCGGCCCAGGCGGGGCAGGCGGAATTTGGGGGGTTTCGGGGCGATTCCCCCCGCCGGAGCCTCCAGCTCCCGGCTGAGCTCCCGGCTGAGCTCCCGCAGCCCCGCCGGGAACCGCTCCGGGCTCCCCCCGCGGCGCTCCGGGCGGGCCAGGCCGAGCTCCGGGAGCAGCTCCACGGCGGCTTTGGGGGCGTCGATGGGCACGGAGGGGACGCGGAGGGTCGGGAATCCCCCCCGAGCGCCCGGAGCCCCCTCCTCATGCCCCCCGGCAGCAGCGGGGGTCGCGGCGGCACCCCCCTTTGCCCACGGGGGTGGGCTCAGCCCCAGCGAGCCCCCCGGAGCCGCCAGCTCCACGGCCGGGATGCGCGGCCCGGAGGGGCCCGGGGGCAGCTCGGGGGGCTCCGGCAGCGGTGTCCGGGCAGCGGCGGCTTCGCGCACGGTCAGGCGGGGCCGCGGCGGGCGAGGGGGCTCCGGGGCCACCGGGGGCACCGGGGGCACCGGGGGCAGCTCCGGGCCGGACGAGCCGCGGGGCTTCGGCAGCTTCTTCGGCAGCTTGGGCAGCGCCAGCTCCACCGAGAGCGGCGCTGAGGGCGGCTGCGGCTCCGGCGGGGGCTGGGGGGCACGGGGGGATGTGGGGCACGGGGAATGGGGGAGCCCCGGCACCCCCAAACCGGCCCGCGTACACAGGAGCGGCGAACAGCCCAAAAAACACCGCAGGGAGCCCCGAACACACCAAAAACCACCCACAGGGACCCCCAAACAACCCACCCGCAGGGAACCCCGAACACCCCAGAAAACACCCAACAGGGACCCCCAAACACCCCAGAACCCACCCTGCATCCACAGGGACCCCCAAACACCCAAAACCTCACCCCATATCCATAGGGACCCACCCCATACACAGGGACCCCCCATCCTCAGGGACCCCCCACCCACAGGGACCCCCCCAATCCACAGGGACCCCCCCCACCCACAGGGACCCGACACCCACAGAGACCCCCCCATCCACAGGGACTCCCCAATCCATAGGGACCCCCCATCCTCAGGGACCCCCCATCCACGGGGACCCCCCCAATCCACAGGGACCCCCCATCCACGGGGACCCCCCCAACCACAGGGACCCCCCCCCACCCACAGGGACCCCCCTTATCCACAGGGACCCCCCATCCACGGGGACCCCCCCAACCACAGGGACCCCCCCACCCACAGAGACCCCCCAATCCACAGGGACCCCCCAATCCACGGGGACCCCCCCCATCCACAGGGACCCCCCAATCCACAGGGACCCCCCCCATCCACAGGGACCCCCCAATCCATAGGGACCCCCCTCATCCTCGGGGACCCCCCCACCCACAGAGACCCCCCTCATCCACAGGGACCCCCCTCACCCACAGGGACCCCCCCCATTCTCGGGGACCCCCCCAATCCACAGAGACCCCCCAATCCACAGGGACCCCCCAATCCACGGGGACCCCCCTCATCCATGGGGACCCTCCTCATCCTCGGGGACCTCCCCCGTTCTCGGGGACCCCCTCATCCACAGGGACCCCCAAACACCCCAAAACCTCCACCCCATCCATAGGGACCCCCCTCACCCTCCGGGACCCCCATCCACAGGGACCCCCCCCATCCACAGGGACCCCCCCCATTCTCGGGGACCCCCCACCCTCGGGGACCCCCCACCCTCGGGGACCCCCAAACACCCCAAAACCTCCTCCCCATCCATAGGGACCCCCCTCACCCTCCGGGACCCCCCATCCACGGGGACCCCCCATCCACGGGGACCCACCATCCTCAGGGACCCCCCCCACCCACAGGGACCCCCTCATCCTCGGGGACCCCCGCACCCCTGGGGCCGCACCCGCCGGGCCGCTCGGTCCCGCTGTCCCTCGGGGGTCCCGGGGGGGGTCCCGGGGCGGGTCCCGGGGGGGGTCCCGGGGGTCCCCCGGCGCAGCTGCAGCCACACGCGGCACCCCCCGGCCCCCTCCAGCAGCCGCCCCACGGCCTCGGGGGTCGCCCCCTCGAAGGAGACCCGCGCCCCCAGGACACGGTCACCTGTGGGGACAGCAGCCCTGTCACCCCGGGGTCACCGCGGGGTCACCACCAGCTTCACCTTGTCACCCCCGGGGTCACCACCAGTGCCACCTTGTCACCCCCAGGGTCACCCAGGGGTCACCCTCGGGGTCACCTTGTCACCCCCGGAGTCACCCCGGGGTCACCCTGGGATCACCTTGTCACCCCCAGGGTCATTTTGTCACCCCCAGGGTCACCACCAGTGCCACCTTGTCACCTCCAGGTTCACCTTGTCACACCCAGGGTCATTTTGTCACCCCCAGGGTCACCCTGGGGTCACCTTGTCACCCCCAGGGTCACCCCAGGGTCACCTTGTCACGCCAGGGTCACCTTGTCACCCCAGTGCCACCCCTGTGCCCCCCCAGTGCCCCCAGTGTCCCTCCCAGTGCCCCCAGTGTCCCCTCAGTGCCCCCCCAGTGCCCCCAGTGTCCCCTCAGTGCCCCCCCAGTGCCCCCAGTGTCCCTCCCAGTATCCCCAGTGTCCCCCCAGTGTCCCCCCAGTGCCCCCCAGTATCCCCCAGTGTCCCCCCAGTGTCCCCCCAGTGCCCCCCCAGTGTCCCCAGTGTCCCTCCCAGTGCCCCCAGTGCCCCTCCAGTGTCCCCAGTGTCCCCCCAGTGTCCCCAGTGCCCCTCCCAGTGCCCCCAGTGTCCCCAGTGTCCCTCCCAGTGTCCTTCCCAGTGTCCCCAGTCCCCCCAGTGTCCCCCCAGTGTCCCCCAGTGTCCCTCCCAGTGTCCCCATTGTCCCCAGTGCCCCCCCCAGTGTCCCCAGTGTCCCCAGTGTCCTCCCAGTGTCCCCCCAGTGCCCCCCAGTGCCCCCCAGTATCCCCAGTGTCCCCAGTGTCCCCCCAGTGTCCCCAGTGCCCCTCCAGTGTCCCCCCAGTGTCCCCAGTGCCCCTCCAGTGTCCCCCCAGTGTCCCCAGTGCCCCTCCCAGTGTCCCTCCCAGTGTCCCCCCAGTATCCCCCAGTGCCCCCAGTGTCCCCCCAGTGTCCCCAGTGTCCCCAGTGCCCCCCAGTGTCCCCCCAGTGCCCCCCAGTGCCCCCAGTGTCCCCCAGTACCCCCCAGTGTCCCCCCAGTGTCCCCAGTGCCCCCCAGTGTCCCTCCAGTGTCCCCAGTGCCCCAAGTGTCCCCCCAGTGTCCCCCAGTGTCCCCCAGTGTCCCCCCAGTGCCCCCAGTGTCCCCCAGTGTCCCCCAGTGTCCCCCAGTGTCCCCCCAGTGTCCCCAGTGTCCCCCCAGTGTCCCC